CAGCACCAGCAGCACCAGCAGCAGCTGCAGCAGCTGCAGCAGCAGCAGCAGCAGCAGCAGCAGCAGCAGCAGCACCATCATCATTATGCTCATCATCGTTATCGTCACGGCCATATCGTGACAACCTCAACCTTAGCTGTTGTTGCTCTTGTCGTTGTCGCGTCCCAGCCCTAGTCCTCGTCCTCACGCCCTCGTCGTAGCCTCCGTGGTTGGTGGTCGTTGCTCTTGCGCTGCTCTCGCCACCACCGTCAGAAAGGCTTACGACAAGTGTCCACTCAACTCAAAGTTTCTCGGCCCGAACGGTGCCGGTCACGCAAGTTGTCTGAAGTGCAGTATGATAGGTTATGATCGCATAGTTTCTTAGAGTATCTTATGGTTTATTGTGCCTGGGCGCCGGAAAGACATGAAGCTTGGAGCCCGCGATGGCCTGGTGGAACCACTCCGGGTGGTGCGAAGGCACCAGGGGATCTTTGGCCCCGTGCCTTTGGCAGCGGTAGCTTTGCTTACTATTGGGGGGACCTTTATATTTAGGACAGGGCTTTGGGGGTCTATTGTAGCAGAAACATAAACTACGGAACTCTAAGCCCCAGCCTTTGGAGTAGTGGAGCTTGTATCATATAAAGAGCAGCAAATCAGTGCCGGGGTGCAGGATGAAAGTGGGACACTTCACTTGCTTTGCCTCCTTCTGGCAGATGTCCCCTCCAGCATCATACATCATCTTCATGGCCTCAAAGAAATTTCAGTTCAAGCTTCTGCAGTATGACAGAAAAAGGGGCACTTTCTCAGGTTCTCGAATGTTCTCGACCCACTACCACAGAAGGCCTACCCACCGGGACCCCTAAATCACTATGTCCACCCGAGAAGCATCGCAGAAGGAGCTCCACATCGGCTGAAGGTCATCGCCATAGACCTGAAATCGCATTCTCCGAGCCCGCAGCCTGAAGCCCGAGACTCAGACTGAGCCCTAGCCTCCCTTTTTGTGCGACCCACGGGAAAAGACACAACGACTGCGCAGAGTCAAGGTGCTGGCCGATGTGTTTCGAGCATTCGCTTGCTCCAAGCCTTCTCCACATCGCGCAGGCCCTCCGCTGGGCTGCCGACAGTCAGATGAATACTCGTTGCTGCAATGCTACTATGGAATGCCCTTTTGCTTCTGCTCACTGCCGTTCCATGTCTGAGGTTGTGCCAACCATACTGGCTATGACCGGCTATGATGCAGAAGGACTAAATAGCTGTTGCTTCTTCATCGATGATGCTCATCATGATGATGAACATACTGCCGGTCGGGCTTGTACTTGAAATTGTGATGATGAAGAAAACGGCGTTCTTCTTGTCGTTATTCTTGTTGTTGTTGCTGCTGGTGGTGTTGTCGTCGCTAATGCTGGTGCTGGTGGTGGTGGTGGTGGTGATGGTGGTGGTGGTGGTGGTGCGTGGTGGTGGGGGTGGTGGTTGCGGTGGTGGTGGTGGTGGCGGTGGTGGTGGGTTGGGGGGGGCGGCGGCGGCGGCAACGGCAGGGTAGTAGTAGTAGTAGTAGTAGTTGTAGTAGTAGTAGTAGTAGTAGTAGTAGTCAGTAGGACCGGCAGCAGCAGCAGCAGCAGCAGCAGTAGTAGTAGTAGTAGTGGTAGAAGCAGCAGCAGCAGCAAGAGCAGGTTAGCAGAAGCAGCAGCAGCAGCAGGTTAGCAGAAGCAGCAGCAGGAGCAGTCGTCTTTGACATCGTCGCTGTCTTGTTGCTGTTGGTGGCGGTGTCGGGGGTGAAAACGATGATGCAAACGACGACAACAAGGCCGACAACAGGGACAGTGATTAGGTTGATGATGGCGATGTAGAGGGTGAACAATATGATGATGACGATGCCGCGATTCTGGTGGCGCAATGGTCTTTTCTGCAATCATGACAATGACAAGAACGGGAATGCTTGCTACGCGGATGCTGCTGAAGTTCGCCAGAACCCGTGCTCGGAGAAACGCCCGTCCTCGTAAGCATCAACATCTTCTTTCGTTATGGAACCTGCGGCTCGGATCAGCTCACATCTCGTTATTGTTAGTAGTATTGTCAAAGTGTGCGGGGAATCTAGAACGATTATTTGCGCAAGCTTGCCAAGCAATCTTGCAATCTTGCCCCGCTTGCCCCCACTTGCGTGGGCAGCAAGATTGCCAGCAAGCTTGGTCAATCTTGGTCTAAAAGGTAAACTAGTCGGCAAGCAAGTGGGGCAAGATGCCCAAGTTTGCTAGCAATCTTGCTTCTGATCAAGATTGCCAAGATGGTTCCACGCAAAAATTGTTCTACATTACCGGCACAATGTATTGTCACTGTTATTGTAGTTGACTATTATTGCCTGTGTGACACTTCACCAGTTTGTTGAAAAGCTTCGGCAGCAGCGCAGTTTGGCTCGCCTTGGATGCCGAACACGGCCAATTTCTTGACGTTCTCCGGCCTGACACCATCCGAAATGCATGGTAGTCGACAGGTCAAGACGACCTAAACATTCGGTCTACTCGAGGTGTGGACCGAACCCCCCCCCCCCCCCC